CATTCATGTCATTATATATCAATATATTGCATCATTCATGTCATTATATATCAATATATCACATCATTCATATCATTATATATCAATATATTGCATCATTCATGTCATTATATATCAATATATCACATCATTCATATCATTATATATCAATATATCACATCATTCATGTCATTATATATCAATATATCACATCATTCATGTCATTATATATCAATATATCATATCATTCATGTCATTACATATCAATATATCATATCATTCATGTCATTATATATCAGTATATCACATTCATTATAGTAGTCAAGTAAAACCATTGATTTTCAAGATAATTTTGAATATTCAATGCCTTTAAGATATCAACAATTGCGGAACAAAAAAGTCAAAAACAGTCATTTTGACTGGCACGGCAGTTCTAGTGTTAATGTCTTGAATATTAAGCATTTGAATACTTGTTAAATTCCACGAATATTACTAATTAAACGAGTCCAATACTAAAATTACCAAGCATCTTGAAATTTTTCTATAGAAACTCCAGGAGTGATTGAAACTTGAATTGATTTACAATTCAGTTTGGTAAAACAGTTTCTTGAATATTTCCTCAGAAAAACGTCCGTTATTTAATAATTGCGAAAAGGAGGTATCAGCATTAGCTCATTTCGACCTGTCTAGTTTTAGTGTTAAAGAAATGCTACAAATTGAACATACAAGATCGATTCTAATTAAGCAAATCAACGAACGAGTTTGCTTTCCTCGTTACAAAACGATCCTATAAAGTTCATCCACAAACTTCCACTGCTTACAAACTTCCTACAGCGGAATCTGCATTTCGGGTCAAGTCGGACATTGAAGGAAGGGTTAAAGTGACCAACGAAGAACCCCTGAGAACTGAAACCCTTTGTTGCAGCCCGGTTCCGATTAGAATCCCCCAGAAAGGGGATCCTCCCCTGGGTCACTTTTAACCACGTATTTTTCCATTAAAGACCTCCGACCCGGCTAACATTGTGTTCTTTGAGGCACGACTTCATCTTCTCCGGAACGGAGTTGTCTTAAAGTAGTTTCCTGATAGAGATCGATGTTAAAGGTAGCCCGAGCTTGAAGATAATTGTCCACAAAACAAAAGCATCGTCCTTCGTCGTAATGGAAAACAGAGGACAGTTAACTTTCATCATTTTTCCATCAATGTTAGCTTCATAACTGAGAGACTTATACCGACACATTGTAATATTGAAGTTTGAACAACAAAACATTTTTGTAGCATAAGAATTAACCCTTTGCACTCGAAGTTTTGTCACTGGAAATATTCAACCTTTCCTGGCGAGATATACAGTGTTTGAAACTAATTTAACGATAGTTCACAGATAAATTAAGCAATAAAACTATTCTATTTGAATATTTCACTTGACAGTACAAAGTTTAATTTAAAATACTAAATATTATTCAATAATAATCTAAATATAAATATTCAACTTCAAAATATAAATATACAATATATTCACAGAAAAACTGTGAATATTCAACTTCACAGTTTTTCTGTAACAAATCAAGTGACTGAGAGTCATATGCAACTATACTGTCAACATCTCATTACAGTTGCAATAATAATTTATTGCCAATAAATGAGAATCCTTGATACAAGTGACAACTATTTTTCTAACGATGATTTCCTTCTGAGAGAAGCAACGAAATTGTATAAATAATTCGAGTCTTTCGCGGAGTAAACTATTTATACAATTTCCTCAGAAATATTTCGTTGCTTCTCTCAGAAGGAAATCATCGTTAGAAAAATAGTTGTCCCTTCAATTCGAGTCTTTCGCGGTGTAAACTATTTATACAATTTCATTAGAAATATTTCGTTGCTTCTCAGAAGGAAATCATCGTTAGAAAAATCGTTGTCACTTCAATTCGAGTCTTTCGCGGAGTAAACTATTTATACAATTTCCTTAGAAACATTTCGTTGCTTCTCTCAGAAGGAAATCATCGCTAGAAAAATCGTTGTCCCTTCAATTCGAGTCTCTGAGTAAACTGAGTCTCGATGGGGACGAACGTTTCACTTCGAGAAACACTGCTGCAGATAATCCGGACTCCAGAGACAAAGTCGCTCAGTCTGGACTAGCCTTTACACGAGGTAATTCAGCCGCTATCCTTCTTGTCGCAGGCATTCGAGGAGCTGGAGGAGCTGCTGGGGAAGTACGACATATGTATCGCTATCAAGGAGAAGTTGGTGAAAGACTCCGGCGTCGCTGAGGAGACGGCTTACGACAATATCGTCCTGAAACTGCTGACGAAACCGAGGGCGAGAGGTGAGTGGGAGACAGCGTGCTAGACGTACGAACGTTCTCTTCTACCCTTTCAGCCGGAATTTACCCCGACAATGGAGAAATCGACGCGTACGTGTCATTTCTAACATACCTACCACAGTCACTAGCAATTTTCGACTGGAGCGAAATGGGTTTGAGAAACGACGTAACGGGAATAGCGGAGATAAAGGTTCTCGCGTGAAACAAGAATAGTATGTTTATATTATTTATCTCTCGAACTTTCCAGTTGAAATTTTCTTTTTGGTATACGAACAACCTCTAAATAACGATATTTTTCTGAGGTTATAATAAATTGATATATGAAACTATGTATTTCTATAGAAATTTTAAGACTGCTATTAAGAATCGAAGGAAAATTAATTGATTCTGTATAAAAGGAAATCGAAGATGAGATCTGGAAATGGTTCGATTCACTCGGAATCCGTCGAGAAAAGCTCTAAAACCGAGCGTTAAATTTCAAGCAGCGTTTCGACGAAATTGTAGATGATTGCTACGAAGAAACTCGACTAGGACTCGTTAAATACTCGAAAATCAGACGCTCCAGTGAGGTCGGGCTGGAATTGTAGCGTGAAGAAAGCAATATTTCAATCTTCAATCGCGTCGTAATTTATGTTCGACGGTTTCCCGCAATTTTTCCCGACTGTTCGACCGGATCTGAATTTCGTGGGGGTTTCCGAGTTCGAAGACAATTTTCCAGCGAAAGCGATCGGAAGTGGGATATTCGACGGTCCGATTCTCCCGGCGCCACTTTCGTCCGAAGGAATCGAGAACTTGAGACAAGTCGATGAAATTTCCGAGTTTCAGCTTTTATCTGACAAACTGTCGGCCCGAGTCTTTCGTACCAGCCCGATAATGCGACGGGCGAAACGGCGAGCGCATAGAGCGTTTTCCGAAACCGTGCTACCACCGGAAACCGGGTTATCGAGTCCGATTTCTTCGAAAATTTGTCATTCGACGAAGTAATTGTATTGATTCATTTGAAAGATATCTGATATAGAATTATCGGCTATCATTTATATCGAAGCAGTGAACATTATCCTTGACATTGGGGTTGAAGCATTTAGTAGGATATCTTAGAAATATTATTGAAAGCGAATGAATTTATAAATAATATAGTACGGCTTTAATATATCCAATTTCTAACGAAATTAAGATTCTGTTTTAAAAATGGTTCAAGAATAAGGTATTTTATGTTCATAGCTGTAAACGTTCTAACTAAAGCTATTTAAAATTCAACTTGATCAATTGGAAGTAATATTTCTATTATTGAAAACTTATTAGCAATGAATGGTTGAAGCATTCAATAGGATATCTTAGAAATATTATTGAAAGCGAATTAATTTGTAAATAATATAGTACAGCTTTAGTATATCCAATTTCTAACGAAATTAAAATTCTGTTTTAAAAATGTGTTGCTTCAAGAATAAGGTATTTTATGTTCATAGCTGTAAACATTCTAACTAAAGCTATTTAAAATTCAACTTGATCGATTGGAAGTAATATTTTAATTATTGAAAACTTATGAATGGTTGAAGCATTCAATGAAATATCTTGGAAACATTATCGAAAGCAAACGAATGTATAAATAACAAAATAGTACATCTCTTAGTGCATCCGACTTCTAATCAAAATAACTAATCAAAATAACGTTCTACTTAATCAAATGTATCCGAAACAAAGGAATTCCATGTTCAAAGCTACAAACCATTCCAAGTGAAGCTATTTAACTTGTCCTATTTCTCTCTGAACTGTGATCGACCTGCTTTACTAATAATTTATTAAAAATAAGAAAAATTCCTTATTCTATCAACGTGTGCTCCAAGGCACAATCATCGATAACAGAGCAATAACATGCAACTCGCATTCAAACAAACAGAATATGTTCATTAAATTCTATTCGAGATCTTCACCGCGAGTCTGACGCGATATACAGCGCAAAGGATTAAAATTCAACTGAAACGATTAAACGAACATTTCGCCTATACAGAACTCCTTGGCAATGAATAACAAGAGTACAAAGCACACAACAGGTCCCATTCATAGACAACAGCCGGTCCACGGCTATAACCAACGTTCGAACGACGCGACGGAACAAATTGTCTCGCGTTTTCTACTTCCTCTTGCTCCCCGGTAGATAACGACTCCTACGGGAGCGCGGTATCCCGATCGATCCTCCCGCCAGCAGCGATTTGTCATGTAAATACAGTGACAAACCGCGCAGCAAGTTGCCGGCCGCGCTGGATTTATGTGTGAAAATTTTCGGCGACTCGAAAAATCCTCTCTTAAGGACGCCTATCCCGCTG